GGTTCACTGTCACCATGCCATTCCCCAGAGCCCCCCTCTGGAGATGCTTCACTCCTCCCCTCTGCCCCCCCACTTGAAGCCAGTGGCTGGGTTTCCCCAGCTGGCCAGTCGCCGGCAGCTGCGTGGGGCTTCCCCTGCCTCCTTGCAAAGCAGCGGAGGTTCCCAGCTGGCTGCGCTGCTCCCCCGCGACCTCTCCTCGCCAGACACAAGGAGGCAGGGGAAGCCCTGCGCATCTGCCGGCAACTGGCAGGCTGGTCGGGGAAATCGTGTTATTGCGGGGATGGTCGTGTTGTTCGAAAAATGTTCCCTAAAAAAAAAAAAAAATCGTGCTATTGCGAAAATGTGGTAAGCAGGCACGTGTTAAGTGAAGAATTACTGTACACCTCCCTGTTCTTACACTCACCATAATACCTCTCTCTCTTCACACTGCTCCTATAACCACTTTGCCTTATCCATTCTGGCCACTTTCCTTACCTCGTTGCATTTCACTCTATATTGCTGTTCCGCCCTCTCGGAGACATCCCTTCTGATCTTCAATACTCTCTTCTCGTGGACCAACTTCAGTGTCTCCTGTGTAATCCACTTCTTATTGATCTTCTCTTCTTCCAGAACCATCTGCTCAATTGCCTCTTCTATTGCCGTAGCTATCTCTTCGACTCTCTTATCTAGGTCTTTCTCTGTGCCTGCATTCCTGATCTTCTCTTCAAGCTCTGTTCTGTATGCGTTCCCTATTTCTTCCTTGCCTCGCCTCGCCACATCTCTTTGTTTCTTAAATTGTGTCTTATACTTTCTCTTAAGTTTCATCTTGATGTTCGCAATCACTAGACTGTGATTGAGTCTATATCCGCTCCTTGGAAAGTTCAGCATTGCTGTGCTGATGTTACCGATCTTCTTCTTATCAAGATCATATCTATCATATTCTTGGACTTCCTATCATTCGATCACCATGTCCACTTTCTACAGTCCTTAGAATCTCATGTTGCAGATCACCATCTCATGCTCCATAGCAAACTCTAGTAGTTTTTTGCCTTGTTCATTTCTTTCTCCATATCCAAACCTTCCCATGACTCTGTCCCAACCTTTATCTATTCCAACATTCGCATTCCAGTCTCCTCCGATGATCAACATATGTCTGTTTGATATCTCCTCCAGCGTCTTTGTCAAATCTTTATAGAATAGCTCAATCTCTTCCTCCATGCTGTCTGACGTGGGTGCATGCACCTGAATGACCAAGATGTTGAATGGTTTTGCTTCGAATCTCACTACCATCATTTTTGCACTCACCAGTTTGTATCCTAAGTGCTCCTGTAGCTCTTTTGCTAAGAAGGAATCCGACTCTTGCCTCATGTGTTGCTTCATTCTCTGACCAAATGACTTCACACCCGCACATCTCTCCCGATGCCATCCAATGCATCTCCGCCAGTCCAAGTATATCACATTGGTATCTGTCCATCTCCTTTCGAAGCAGCTCTAGCTTTGCCATTGCCTACAGTGTTTGGACATTTCACGTTCCAATTGATAATATACGTGTTGTAGTTTCCTTTCAGTAGCCAATTTATTGACCCAAACCCGATCACTCAATTGGTATCATGGACCTTGTTTATCTGAGAGACATCCGAGCTGGCATCTTTTGTCAGTTAGTCGTGCTGACATAAGAGTTCATTCGTATTGTTGTTTTACAATCAGCGCATTGACACTCATCTGACCAACCCTCTTCCTTTACCCAGGCTTGGGACTGGCATGAAACCCCTGGAGGCTTCATGGCGGAGTTATCTTGTGTCTGGATTATAACATTCCTACTAATGCATCGCAGAATGATGTTTTCTTTTTTTGCAAGTGTTACATTGTTGAATTATATTTATCTTGTGATTATATTATATTTATCTCCTTCATAGGTATTTTCCATAATTGCTCCTTCCTAACTACAGGCCATTTCTCCAGTTTGTGTAGTTGTTTATGAGGAGGGCTTCGGGAATAATATGAAAAGCCTTAATAATATCAAGATATGCCACATTTACTGCTTCCTCTCATCCAGAAGGCTTGTTACTCTGTCAAAGACAGCTAAATGGGTTTCTGGATGCATCTTCTTTTGCTATGCAGCTGCTAATGTGCCTTGCTTACCTAGGGTAGTAGTCACTCTGCCACATCACAGTATTCTTTTTTTAGCCTTGCTGAAAGATGATCCTATTGTGAAAACATGCAAAATAGCATTATGAGCATCAATTCACAACTTCTCAAGACTTTATATTTCCTTGCACACCTCTAGAGCAGGTGCAGCATTGATTCTGAAGTTCTACAAACAGTTGTAAGTTGAGTTCCAAAGCTCCCATTTCCTTCAGCAGATACTGCTTGAGAGTCACATGAAGTAGAGCACAAACAGGGATACTACTCAGATAAGTTACTTACCCTGTATAGCAGCTGGAGTTTTTTGAGATGTGAGTTTCTATGGCTGCTCTACTACCCACTGGCCTTCCCCTCTGCTTTGGAGTCTCATGTTCATACGACTTTTGCAATAGAGAAGAAACTGAGAGCAGTTTGTCTCTCAGATCTATTTGCCTTCAATATAGGCATCAGGATGGCCCAAACAAGCATTGCTGCTGGGAATAAAGTGATCAAAGGCACATTCGTACCTCAAGTGGAACACCTCTAGGGAGAAACATTTCAAATTACAGTAAAACTCCATTGGTCCGGCATCCAATGCTCCAGCACTCCTGATGGTCCAGCACCATCGGGAACCTGGTAGTGCTCCGGACAGTCAGACAATTGGAGCTGCTCTGCACCCGGCTTCCCCGATTCATCTGCTGCTGAAACTGACTGCTGACTTGGGGAAGCTGGGGGCAGAGCAGCTGGGGTGCTGCCAGGTTGGTCCCATAGCGCTGCCCCTCGGTGCTGTGGGACCAACGCAACACCACCCCAGCTGCTCTGTCCAGGCATCCCCAAGAGCAACTGGGCTGCTGCTGAGTTGGTCTCGCAGCGCCCAG